TGAGTGTGTTTTTCAGTCCAGTGCACAGTCAGGTTGCGTTCATTGGTGATGTCGCTAATCGTTCCAGGAGGCAGATTGCATATCTAAGCCTTTGCTAAGGAGAGAAAACCTCCAAACATGAATTATGTATTCCAAAAGTGAAACGGAAGTATTTGATTTGAACATAAATTAGTCACCTTAAAGCAAACCCGCCCAGGCACACAGTGTGAGCGTGCATACTAAATCCATGGCTGATTTCCAGGGCCAATACGGCAGCCTGGTAGAGCCGGGCATTATGACTAAAATATTAAATCTCCAGGCTTTATTGAGGCTTTGATAAGTTCATTTAGATTTACAAAGAGCACTGAGCACTTTGTTCCAGACAAAACATTTTAGAATATACCAAAGAGAGAAGCAGCCTTAGGTAAAGAAGACTCCTGTTTCTGAGCGAATGACTGCATCTGGTTTAAAAAATAAAATATTCACGTGCAACTGTGAATGAATATGGATGTGAATGACAGCTATCGAGGACATTTTACTAATTACTGACCTTGCATATCAATGAGGGTCATTTCCATAACTACTGTGCAAATGCCATCACCCTATGAAGACGGTGTTAAGTGTGCCCACTTACACATTGCTTACGACCAATGTGTTACATACTGCACACTTAGAAGAAAATCCTGATTAGTACTCCAAAGTTTTTCTCCTTATATGCCACTCCCATTGCTTTTAACTGCTTGCCGGGAAAACATGTATCAATTTGTATGGTACTGGTATTTGCTTTTTCCCTACTCTTTACCCAAATGTAATGGTAACTCTACAGTCACACAAGGAAAACCAGTAGTTTGAGACTGAGACAAGACAAAGACTTGGTCTGTGACTGCTTGTTGTCAGTTGCCATCTTCAAAAATATATATATAAGTGATAAAGTGGTAATAAGATGGAATGAGTCTGCTAACAGTTTGTGATTGAATTGGTTCACATTGGTAATTACAATGTGACTTGTTGTGGTACTAAAACTATAAATAAGGTTGCCTCACATCAAGCAAACCTGTGCAAGGTTAAAGGTGCTCGACATTTAACCTCTAGGCGACCAGTTGGTATTGAATAAATCCCAGGCAACCACCAATTTTTCCCAGTCGCCAGGAGGTTGCCATCCTAGTTTTACTCTAGTGCCACTGAACCATAAAGCAATGAAGTTGTTCTACATACTACTAATACAGTTGGAGTTTTAACCATTTTTCCATCTTGTTAGCTTGGCCTCTGAGGTCAGAAACAAAACTAATCTTAGAGATACTCTTTTAGTATTAACTTCAGCTATCAACTTTAATAGTCAGTCTAAACATGATGTCACGTATTACTAAACTCTGACAAGCACTCTGACAAGGAACTCCCTTCACTAGTGTGCTAAAGCCAGTGGAACATTCCACTGCAGTGCACTGATCAAACTTTCATGATGAAACCTTTTCTCTTGATGCACATACCACAGAGTCTTAGCAGCATGAGGTACGTGCAGAATGATAAGAGCAGAATGCTAAACCAGTACGCTGTTCAATCAGCAGCACACCAGGTAAAGTATTCTTATTCTCTGCAGGGGTAACCTGTCTGTTTTAAGTCACAATGGAAAAGGATACCCAGACAGGGCTTTGTTTAAAGCGCGGATGGACACTCCTCCACTCCACTCTCTGGGGCTGACCGTCAAGGACGAGGAACAAGCCGACTGACTGCGCCTGACAGGACAAAAGCAGGGAGAACGTTCAGCAAGTCTAGACAGGGTACCATATGAAGGCAAATTTGTTTTAAAAAACAACAAAAAACTGGTCAGACACATCTTACCAGTCTTCACTTTTCCAAAACTGTCACAGTCTCCATGACAGCAGAGGAAAACTCTTTTCTTGCTCACACACAAACTCCACTTTG